CTCCTTCCTTCAATTTAATCGTAATAATTTATTAAAATTGATATCCCACCCAACTCCCAGCAACTTATTTATCAAATTTATATCCTGCTGCAGTCAGAGCAGATTTTCAGCAACTCACAGTAATAAATGAAACCCAATAATCAGACAAAAAAACCTTACAAATGCATTAATCTTGTATCTTACATCCATCCATCCTGCGTTCCCAAATTAAGCAAGCTGAAAAACCACCAAGCCCCACTTAGCTGGGCAAGACCGAGGGGGCCAGGACTACTGAGATGTCAGGAAGGTCTCTGGACAGCTAATTGGGGGTCAAATACAGAACCTTGGAAACTTCAGGAGGCCATCCTCATTCCTAGTGAGTTCATTAAGGCAGAGTCCCTGGAATGGTTTGAAACACTCCTTCCTAGGTTGCTCCCCACCTGGGCTGAGTAGCCATTGATGAGATGGGGCAACTACATCCCCTTCTGCCTCTTGATAGTTTAATCCAGTGTTTCTCAACCTTGGGAACTTTAAGAGGTGTGGACTTCAACTCCCAGAATTTCCCAGCCAGCATGGGTGGCTGGGGAATTCTGGGAGTTGAAGTCCACACCTCTTAAAGTTCCCAAGGTTGAGAAACACTGGATTCATCTCCCTTTGATGCCTTTCTCAGCCTCTGCTCATTCTCTCGCAGAAACTTTGAGGACTGCACAATGCAGCCAAGAGGCCCTTCCATGAGCCGGTTCAGTGTGTTGGGCAAACCCAGAAGATTCAGATTCCAAAGGCCGACGGGGACAGAAGAGCAAGCCCTGACAACACAGAGACGTTTAGAGAAACCTTCCTTGGTGTGCGTTCGGCCCGCAGCAGCCCATTCAAGCCTGGCGGTCAAGGCTGCTGGCACAGAGCCTGCTCGCAGGACCCAGCCTCCGAAGCCGGGCCTTCATCTTCCAAACGCACCTGCTCAGAGCCCAGAGGGAAACTGGTGTCCTGACTCCGGGTGATCATCCGTCGGGGAGAGGTGGGCCCCAGGGGGACTTTGTCGGCAACAGGGGCGGCAGCAGAGGCAGTCTCGATCTCTGGCTCGGTAGAGTCCATCTGGTGGAAGCCCCACAGCCCCACTTTCCTTATGCAGCGGCAACAGCTCATCAAGGGGAGGTGGACAGATCCAGAAGGAGGACTGGGGTAGGGGAACCCAAGAAGATGCCCCCCAAGAATAAGTCAGATGCCAGAGCAAACTCACTTCACATGAGGCAGAATTTAAATACCAGATACTGTGCACAAAGACGTGTGTTTTTCAAATATCTGCCGATTCAAGTATTGGAACCCTGAGACGGTAGGCAAGTAGCAAAATCATACATTCAGGATTTTCAGATATTAGCAGTCCGCAACTTGAGGCCCCAGGCCTTAGGGTGGCCCCTGAATCCTTCTCAGGGGTCCTGTGGCACCTCTCTAACCAAGAAAGTATCAATCGTCACAGCTGGGGGGTGGTCCAGATTCAAAGGAGAGAAGGGGATTTGGAGGGCCTACTGGGGTGCCCGTTGCACCCGTTTGCAGCTTCTTAGATAAAGCGTGTACTTTCCTGGATTGCATGCTTGCCACTATGTCAATCCAGGAAAAGGTCCACGTTTTTTCAGGAGTTGACCCCAAGTGTGAGGTGAGTGTCCGTGTGTGCTCCGAATCATGTTTTCCCCACTGATTCTGGATTGCTGAACTGTTCTGCTAAAAATCAGCAGAATGTCCCCCCATTCTGAAGTGAAAACACACAAAAGGCTGTAATGTAAACCTTAAGGGAGTGTTTCTCAACCTCAGCCACTTTGAGGTGTGTGGACTTCAACTCCCAGAACTCCCCAGCCAGCATGGGGAATGGCTGACTGGGGAATTC